TACAAACAAACATTTGATTACTATTGAAATGTCTCTGATTACGGCGTCCAGCCAGTCTAGGATCGTTAGCGGTGAGTGGGTCGGCGCCGCCGGGCACGACCTAAAGGAGAGCGGGAGAGAGAGAGAGAGGGAGAGAGAGAGAGAGAGAGAGAGAGAGAGAGAGAGAGAGAGGGGGGCAGGGAGGAAGGATGGGAGAGTGAAAGGACGGGTTTCGGGGTGGCTTTTGATCGGAAAGTTTGATGCTCCGTATACTGTTTTAAGTAAGCTGAATCCTGATGACAGTGATGACCGAAATCGGTCATCACTGTCATTGAACGTTCAGTATTGAATGCATGCTATTCTTTCAGTCCTGACTGTGATTGTTTCCGTGTTTACGGCAAAAATAAGAGCCCCAGTATAGCCCACCGTTACCCGCATTTTTATCCATTCAGAAAGCAAAATAGGCTCATGACCAAAAACGGTCCCGAATGCTGCACTGTGACCACAGTGACCACTGACCGCACCAGTCTGCATATGGCGGCCGAGGAATAACACCGTACCCCACACTCCACCGTGACTCCAGCGAACCCGTGGCCTCGTGGTCCGCTCAGTCCTCCGCAACCCCTCCGTTTACGGTGGAACAGTCGCGTGCGACATCTGCCAGAAGTTCGAATTTGGCTGCCGCATCCATCACTCAATGTCCGGGTTCACGGGGAAGGTCACGACTGTGATCGGGGCGCCGGGCCGGTCCCTTTCCCCAGACGGGGTGACGCAGGTCACCAGAGGTCACGTCCCCTGAGCGGGCCGACTGGACGGCAGGGGTCGGCGGCGCGGCGCGCTCCCTCAAGGTCGGGCCCCGCGGGCTCTCGCCAATCTGTTCCAGCGACAGACGAGGGCAGAGGTCAGCCAGGTCGGGACAGCCGAATGGTCCCTGTTCCCCGGACTGGTTCGGGGAGAGGTGTAGGGTAGGTCCCTGGAAACTGCGATTTGAGGGTCGATATGGTGAAAGGTGAGAATGGGTGGAAGTGGTGGATGGGAAGATGGGAAGCTCTATGCAGGGAACTTGACGCCTGGGTGGATTGGCACCTTGGCTATGTCACTTTTTATATCTCAGTGAAGGGGACAGTTCCAAATCCAATTGCACTTCGAGACAAAACTAGCCATCGCACGCAGCTTCATTGTTAACCCCATTAGCTCCACACCTCCACACCTCTTCACCCGTCCTCCTATCACTTATCACTTACGCAGCTCCACCGTCCTGCAGCCCTCGCCCTCTCATAACCGCCAGCGCCTCAGCAGGAGCCGGGTCGGTCTCGCTGATATGCTGCGACAGTCTCGTGCAGTGCTGCGACAGTCTCGTGCAGCGCTGCGACGGTCCCCTGGTGCGCCGCACCAAACTCGGTCACCATTAAGGACAAGAGGAGCACGGAGGATCATCCCTATCTGCGGACCTGGCGCCGGTCGCCGTGGGTGACGAGGGAGCTCCAAGGCGGTCAGACCAGCAGGAGGTGAAGAGCGGTGAGCCGTCTCAGACAGGTGGAGCGGTGAGATGGCTGACGGTATCTCAGGAGGGGCGGACAGCCTACGTCCACACTCCACCCCGGACGCAGCGGGGCGCACAGTGGGGCTCGTGGGCGCTGCGACGGCGGGGCGCTGGGACTCGGGGCACCTTCTTTGATGGAAGGACTAGAGATTCTAGGAGGCCGCGACGCCCGGTGTTTGGAATCTGATACTGTCTTCAGGTGTAGATTGCTGGCAGTTGAGTATTTCTATCTCATACTCTATTCTATCTCATGTAATTTGGTGCATTGCTGGCGTTTTCATCCCAAGTTTCCTGTGAATTTCGCTAAGTATCAATCTGTTAACCCGCGCCCCGTAGGGGGGGGGGGGCCGAAACGGCCCCCCCTGTCCTTTTCGATCGATATCTCCTAAACGGCTGGAGATATCGACACCAAACTTTCAGGACCCCTCCGGGCATCAATTTTAAACATTGTGACCAAACATTTTTCCAGAGGCTGTGATAGGTTGGCCACAAATGACGTCAGAGTGACGTCATGTTCTGTCATTTTCGACCGAAAAAAGACCTTCGCGAGAAGACCTGTCAGGCCTACAGCTTTGAAGATACAGAAAAATGATCAAGACATAAAAGGTGTAAAATTGACAGGGCTACAAAACTGCTATCTCGGATTTTTGAAATTTTTGAGTTTTGATCCCCAAAAATCAAAAAAGCATTTTTTTGGATATATTAGCCAAAAAATCCACAAAGTTTTTTGAGTTTTGAAAAAAACCGGAATATATGTGATAGTACCTACCGTCTTCTATCTACATACCAAATTTCAGATCGATACCTCGTTTTTTGGCCAAGTTATAGCGAAAAAACTGTTCAAAAATGATGACGTCAAATTTTCAAACTCAATTTTTGGCAATTCTAGAAATCGTAGAGCAAAACAAAGACCACCATTAGACTCCCCGTGACGAGCTGCATCGAATGGATACCCATTTTATGCAAAAATATCAACTTTGAAATTTGACCTAATTTGACCTGACCTTGACCTAACCTTCACCAAAACGTGACCTAGGCTGGCCCCAAAGGCTGCCTAACCCACATAATCGCATTTGTCATGTAAAATGGACCATAAAACATGTATCACACGACACATTCATATTGTGACCCCCGGTGACCTGACCTCGCTGTGACCTGACCTGGTATCAGTGACCTCAGATAGCAAAGTATGTGTTTGACGAACAATATACCATCGATGGTTTTCAATAAATTACCAATTTACTCGATTTCACAGCACATTTCTTGAATTTCCTGTGAACGGTGAAAATCTGACCTTTGACCTGACCTGTGACGTCATCGGTTTGACCTAGGTCAATGAAATTTGGTCACAAGGTAGTTCCCGGGTAGGGCTATCAAACGCCGTTTGAATTTTGAAAATCGGCCGGTAACTTTCCGAGATCTTAGGGGGGGGGGCCGAAACGGCCCCCCCCCCCCCCCTACGGGTGGTAGGGTCCGCCGGTAGCCCTACGGGGCGCGGGTTAAACGTGCTCATCCAATATCACCCCATTTACCTCCCAGTCAACCCCGCACCACATCCCTCTGTGACGTCACAGGTCGGCTGCGTCGTGCCCAGCGTAAGGCCAGCAGCGGCGCCGCTAAATAAACCGAGACGACGGGCGGCCGGCGGCCGGCCGGGCCTCCCGCCGATGCGTACCGGGGAGCTAGCTGTCCACGACCGGGTCTGTGGGAGCTGTTCACGATGGGATCGGTGGGAGCTGTCTTGGGTGGGGTTTGGTGGGAGCTGTCCACGGTGGGATCATTGTGAACTGTCCAGTGTCCACGCTGGGATCGGTGGGAGTTGTTCATGGCGAGTACGACACGCCCAGTGACGTGAATCATGGTGTGGTCAGTGCACTGCAAATTGTAGTGTTCATGCCATAGATCAGTGAAAAACTGTGGACAGTTATGTAATGTGAGCAACTGTGAACAAATTGGTCTACAAAATGCTCTTGGCCACAGTCTAAGAAAGGTAAGTGGCTCTGCGCCGGACAACGTTTTGATTTGCGTTGCTCAACCGCTTTATGGGAAACGAATATTATATATATATATATATATATATATATATATATATATATATATATATATATATATATTTTAATGAAGCATCATCTGAAAAGTTATCTACCGACTACTTCTTTTAAAATTGTGGCTTTGTTTCTGCGACAGACGTCGTAACTTGTGCCCTAATTGTAGGGACAGACGCCTTCACATGGACCTCAGAACGCTGTCCCTGTCCCACACTGACCGACTGGGTGCCAATTGACCGGCACCGGTCGTCCCGTTTCTCCCACTTTCCTCCATTTCGCATTAGTCACGGTGTCTCTTTGATGACGAGAGTGGACGGACAGGGTCACCACCGGCGTCCAGTTTCGGTGACCACCGCCCCAGGCCAGAGGTTATACCCGACAGAGGCCGATAAAATCGCTCCCGAGATGTTATCTGTGATCAAACTCGAGCCAGATGCGGGAATTTCACAAGGAGACCGGAGAAGTTAATAAAACTCAAGGTAAACGGAGCCCATTACGGTAAGTGATACTCTTTCGGCACGGGAGACGTTTTAAACCGACGCTGTTTCGGCACGATGAGCATTTGAGAGCAGCGTTTCGATGGTGTTTTCATGATATGAGGATGCGGGTACCGAGTGATGATGACGGTTGCTACAGCGTTGCAAAGGCCTGAGTAGTGAGTATTGGACCTGAGGCTATAGGGGTAGGTAGGTACTGAGACATAATCTGAAAAAATAAAATTGAGTTGAATCATTTTTGTCTATGTCTGTCTAGCTAGCATGTGGAATGTGGATGCATGGTCAACATTCAAATTGTACGGTCGCATATGTCATAATTTTGATTTTTTCTTTCTTTTAATCAGGCATTTCTTTTGTCCTTTATCTACGTCTCCAAAAGCAGCGACAAGCAATGAATTTGACGAAATTACCTTTCAATACCAAATAGCCTATTTACAACCAACCCTTTCACTAGTTCCATGAATTTGCTATACGTCCGGCTCAATAGCACGGCCCATCTCTATGAGGCGGGCGAACTGCCGTGGACCCGGTGGTCCGTCTGCTTTGTTTCCTGATCCGGTGTTCCACTGAACCCACTGCGGCATTGAGGAGCGCCCGAGCGGCAGCACGAACCCTCGGTCAAACGCACACCCAATCTGTCCCGGCGACCCACATCCTATTTTAGTGGCCACGACCGATGCCGATAGGGTACCAAAGCCGGACGCGGTCTGCCGTTAAACAGGACACGGATAGGTCCCCTATCACTTTCCCCTTCGACCAGAGGCGCTTTAAACTTCCCACCCTCTGTTTCCAGGCGCGTGCGGACGAGGTAAAAAAAAAAAAGAGGGAGCCCGGGAAATATGACTGATTTTAGCCGACCGCGGGCGGTGCTGGGGAGGCGCGGCAGCCGGGGCCGGTGTGAGATTTACCGTCTGCCCCTCTGGCCGCCGACAGGGCTGCTGTTCGAGCCCAGCTAATGGCGCTCTCCTCCGCGTGCTGGCCGCAGAAATATGGACCAATTATTGCCGCGGTCGCGTGCCCCGACGGCCAGCGTCCGCCGCCGCCTCCCCTCCGCCACAAATCACACACGCCCGCGGGGAGGAAAAAACTGTCTGCACGTCTCAGGGGCAGTCGCCGGCGGCCGGTCCGTCACCCCCTCCCCCCCTAACTCATCCCATGCGCCCGCCGCCAGCTGTCGAAGCTCATCACTATCCAGCGCGTGCCCGCCCCCGGCTGACAAACCGCGCATGCGCGCTGCCACTCGATCATTTCTGCGCCGTCCCGCTCTGGAATTCGGCAATTACTGCCGGCGAGAGGGGTGATTTTCTCATTTGATTGTCATTAATCAGAGCTATTCCGGGCCATCTCTGTGCATGATTGCCCTGATTTTACGACTCTATCGATGGGGACGGCGCGCCTGGCGCAGCTGGCAGGAAGGAGAGCGCGCGGCGGCAGCAGCGCGGCCGGCGCCCCTCTAATGAGTTTCCTGTTTTCGGCCGCGTCTGTTGGCCGGCGGCAGTTGTCCGCCCACTCGGCGACGAGCGGACCTTTAAATCGCACCGGCCCGCTGTCTGTGCACGGTGTGCCGAGCAGGGACTCGACCAGCGGACATACCTACACAAAACGGCTGCGGATGGAGCTGTAGGAACGCATTGTCCCACACAATTTCCTTGCATTCAAGATATCTGTAAACCGAGGTGTGTTGCATTACAAGTGACATGAAGCTGCTGCGAAGACATAAAATAAAAATGAGGTAGCCAGCGAGGGCAGTTGAAAACGAAAATTTATCTCGTTAAATCGGAGTAATATCGCAGTCTGCCGCCGTGTTATCTAACAGAATGCCCCCGCAATATCAGTCTGCAGCGGTAATCACGCAGCCTGTTGACGTAATCTCGCAGTCTGCCGCAGCGATCTGGCAGTCTGTCGCTGCGATCTGGCAGTCTGCCGCAGCGATCTGGCACTCTACCGCAGCGATCTGGCAGTCTGCCGCAGCGATCTGGCAGTCTACCGCAGCGATCTGCTTCTGCAGTGCAGTTGAGAGCCGAACGGGCTGGCGGACGGCGAACGGCAGACGGCAGACGGCGGCCGCTTTGCGCCCAAGATCGCGGCGATATGACACAGCGGCTGATCGGCCGACAATACGACACGACCGGTCGACAATACGACACCGGCCGACCATAATGCGCCGACACCGACAACACATGTCACGCGGCGCGCGTGCGTCTGCAAAAACGGCTCGCGCGCGAGGTGCAAAAACGACCGCAATCGGGCCATCGGCAGCCGCTGTTTACCCAGTTCCTATTCTGAACTGGCAGCGGACGGCTGTAACCAAACCCGACCAGCAGCCGTATGCGCGGCCCGGCGCATAGTAATGAGAGCCGCCGTTGCAAAAATGCGACAAACAAGCGCCGCCTGGCGCGGCAGCAGCGGCGACCGGCGGAGGATGCGGGTCGGCCGCGGGGGGAGCGCCAGGAATAGAAGGGGTGCCTCCTGGTGTGCACGTGTGCACGTGCGCTTACTGGCCGGGAGGTCCGCCGGCACGCGGCGAGACCGCCTGTCAAAGCCAAGCTGGAGACCTCCTCTGAGCTGGACGCCTCCGCGGAGCAATCCTTTGCCACCGCGAGCAGGATTCGGTTTCACAACAGCGTAGTACTCGCGGTCGGCGGTGCGGGGCGGCGCGGGAGGGAGGGTCAGGGCGGGTCTGAGTGGGTCCCTGCGCGTCCCTCCCCCGACGCGATGGTCGGCGTCTTCAGACCAACAATGCCACTGATTCCTTTGTTTGTTAGTTTCTCTGCGGCGCGGGCGCGCTTTGGGCCAGCCGTTGATTTAATTAGCATTCCTGAATGCGGCCTGTTTTAATTAGAAGCCCGGTGTGCGGGCAGGCGGCTATTGTGTGAGCGCGGCCAAAGACGCCGGCCGCCGCCCGATGTCGTGACTAGCGAGCGGTCCACGCCGCGCCGGCAGCGGGCCCACACGGCGCACGCAGGACACGAATACAACCCACGGCGACTCAACGCGACTCGCCGCGACCCGCGGAGACCCACCACGACAACCGTGGCCTACGCCGACCCACGGAGACACACGCCGACCCACGGAGACCCACGGAAACCGACCGCAGCCCACGCTGACCCGTCAGCCATAGCAGAGCGGTGAGCAGAGGTGACTGCCCCCGGTCCCCGACCCCAGGTCAAGAGCCTGTGTCACACAGTCGCCGACCGCAAAAACTGAGACCTCAGCGTCGTTAAGCGTCGTTTCGACGCGAAATGCTGCGCGTCGCCCCAATAACGACGGCCGTAACTGTCTGCGCAGGTCGGCGTCGGTGTCGCGCGCCCTTCGGTCGACGCCGAGTACCTTCATAAATGTCAGACAGGCGGCATAAATCGCCGGGGCAAATTAGGATCGCGACCATGTGCTGACGGGACGAGCTAATTATCTCCTCGGCACGATCTTTTTACCGGCCGCTGCTGACTGCGACGCTCGGCCGGCCGAGGGTTGGAAAGGGTAATGTCCTGTCGTGAGCGTTTCAGGTTCAGGACGCTGCACTGGGAGACGGGTAGGGGAGTGCGTGTGGGCAAGGTGAAACAAGAGCGCAGAGGGGAGTGCAGGGACAAACCTCCCTCGGGCCTGGCCAGGGATGCCCATTGTGTCTGAGGGACACCAGCGGCCCTGCCGCTCTGCAGTCCAGCTCAGCACCGGCCCTGCCGCTCCAGTCCAACTCAGCACCGGCGTCGTCACGCCAGCAGTCTCAGGAGGAGGAGGAAGGGAGGGGCGCCGCTCGCGTGACGTCAGCAGGAAAGACGCCTGCGACGCGCGCCACGCGCCGCCGCGCACCGGGCCGCACCGGGCCGGGGGCCTTTTAAAAATAGCCGCCCTCAGCTGCCGCGGCAGGCGAGCCGCCTTTAAAGATTAAACTGCCGGCGGCGGTGCGCCGTGTGGGGGGAGGTACGCCGTTTTTGGACCGCTCCGGCCGCGGGGGACGTGGCCTGGAGCGACGCCAGGGGCACCATCTGCCCCGGGGCGGTGACGAGCGACGGGCCACGCGGCGCCAATCACGGCGTGCGCCGTGCTCCCCTCCGTGGCCAGACGCGCGCCGCCCCGGCTTCCGGCCTGCCGAGACGGTGCAGAGTCGCCCGGCTGACAGATGCAAAGCCACGGAGCGGGCAGATGCAAAGCCCCGGCTATAGACGACAGATGCAGAGCTGTAAGAGGCGGACAGATGCAGCTGAGGTAACTCGTTTGATTCCCTAACTAAAACATCTGCGGGACCTCGGCCAAACTCGTGAACGCTCCTTTGACTCCGGATGAAATCCTGCACAGACGATTTCCTCCCCTACATCTGTCAAACCTTGCCTCCGATCCTCTCTGCGGCTTCTTACAGTTCACCAAACCAAGATAACCGTCGCAGCGAATAGGAGGGTCACGATATCCTGACGTATTTCTGCACGGCCGATAATGGGCTAATTTGTCCCGAGCAAACGACCCGGGGTTTTCCGAGGGCAGCCAGTAACCGCTTCTGCCCGATCAGTCGGCCGTGGGATGACAAGCCGTTTGGAGTCGATGGCTGGACCATGCTCTCATGCACCCGGATATATTTCATGTTGGATCATCTAATGGTTAGGGATAATATCACCCTTAGCTGGTTCAATATCAGCATGATGCATTGGGCGGCCGGGGCTTTTGTCTCGGTCCAGTGACGATGTCAGGATGAGGCGAGCTCTTGCAATCAATGGGGAGGGGAGGTAAGCGTTCATAGGGACATTCTACTGAAACGGTGGCATTTATTCTATGTGAGCTTAACAAACTGATGGCATGTTCGCGCATAGTACTGATTTAGATGATTGAATCACCAGCAACAGATTTAGCATCAATGGTTAGCTTTTCTGTCTTAAAACCTCCAATTCGTCCAAAGGTAAAACTATGAACACCTAGAAGTTAACGGTAAAAGTAAAACAAAATAATGGCGATTTGTAAATCACGCTAAAAACCTAGGTTCAATGAAGATCAAAATGAGAACTTAAGATGGATATAAAAAACATCAAGATAAAGATAACTGATATGGAAATGGAATGCTCGTAAGTGGCTCTTCCCATTGTTTATATCGATGTCCTTTACCTCACCCCACCTTTGTCTTCACCGTTGTCCTCAGTGCATCCCCATATCCATCTTCGTCACCGGCAAGTCCATAGCCGCCCCACAGAAGACACCACCAATCCACCGGGGAGCGAGCCTGTCAGATGACATACGACGGCTGTCATGACGGCTGACAGATGATGCAGCACACCGGTCAGGCGCCAGGGGTGACACCCCGGGACCCCTCGAGGGAGAGGGTGCCCCCAGGGGGTGACGTAGGGGACGGATATCCCGTCCCGGTGCAATTGCTCAGTGTCACCGCCGGAAAATAAAAACACCGCGGCGCCGGAGAATCAACATCCGTGGACGGTTCTTTGGGTGAATGTGTACCTTATCGAGTGGGTTAATAGAGATGATGGTGGTCGATGGTGTGGAGAGTGGTTTTTGCTGAGGGATTATGTGCTAGTGCCAGGCATGCCGTTTTATAATGAGATGGTTGATTCAGATGCTTTGGACCAGTTTCGCTTGTCTATAAGACAACGGTAGGTAAGACGCATTTCCACGATTTCATTCACATAAGACACATTTCCACGATTGATGTTTAAAAGGTTGGACGTTAAACAGCCTGAAGATGTGTTCGACCAAAATCACACTGCCAAAGTTCGACTCCTATCAAAACGACATGCGACTTTGGTAGGTATAGAAGTATGCCATGGCTTAGGTAAATGTAAGATAGTGGTCAAAGCGCCGGTCAGCATTAGAGTTGCAAAATTTCCCTACCGCACTACCGGCATGCCGGTAATTTTTCACTACCGCAGGTTTTTTTCGTGGTATCTGGCATGTCTTGCCGGTAGCATGCCGGTATTTTTGATTTTGTGCAAAAAAAAAATATCAGCAAAAGATTGAA